TGGCACACAGATCCCCTCATACTTGGTCAACAGTGTATCTCCGAGGCCACACTCAGGATGCCTACCAGCTTTTATCAATTTTGTGTATTTTCCTGGGTTATCCAGTTTTTAAAATAAACACATTTCACTTTTAAGATCTGAGAAACAATACTAAAAGTCGTAATACAAACTACTAGTCCAGGAGTAGGACCATCACATACCAGCCACTCTGGCCACGCAGTGTACGACATGAACAGTTAACCTACACGGAAGCCTTTATTATAGGCTGTCACCTGATTAGACAAACCAGCAAGTCCAAAAAAGGTATTTAAAAAGCCAGCCATGGTTGTGTACACCTGTAATCAACAGCACTCGGGAGGCAGAGGCGGTAGGAGCACAGAAGTCTGAGGCCAGCACTGGCTACATAGTGAGTTCAAGTCCAGCCTGAACTACAAAGTAAAACCCTGTCTCCAAAAACAAACAAACAAACAAACAAAAAAAAAAAAACCACAGAAAAATCAACAAATCCTACCCATAAACTCTAAGTCATTGTGCCACTGCAATTTTTTCTCATGCCATGAATAATAACTTCCTCTCTTCTATAACTCCCGCTCGATCAACACTTTATTTTATACATGTACATAGAAAAAAGAAATTAATTTTAAATCCTTTGCCTAGACAAGATTTAACCACTTTAACTGGACCCTCAGCACATAACAATATCTGATACAATAAAATAGCTAAAAGAAGTACAGAAGTGAGCCAGGCATGGTGGCACAAGTCTGTAACCCCAACACAGGCAGAGGTAGAATCACCACAACTTGAAGGCCATCCTGGGCTATTACGAAGTTCAAAGCTAGATTGTATTACACTGAGACCCTGTCTCAAAAAAAAAAGAAAGAAAGAAAGAACGAACATACAGAAGTTTGGGTTTAAAAAAAAAAGTGTATTTTGCTGATAAACCTAATGCAGGTTTTAATGAGCTAAACAGGTCGGCTCCAAAATGAAAAAGACAATACTCCAGCAAAAATCAGGAGGCTTCCTAATACAGTAAGTACGAGATAAAGAGTAAACGGATGTTTCATGATCCATGTGCTCTAAAAGTGTGCTTGACACCCCCCACCACCACCACCCCCCCTGCATAAAAGGAGAAGCCTGTTGTTCCTGCAAGCAGCCAATCAAAGCGCGCCTGGAAGGCAGACTCGCCATCCTTGATGCACCCTGTGTGCTTCCTACACACACTCCATTAAAGCAAGCACCAAAAGACATTTTTTAGAAAACAACTATAAAAGCAAACAAATTGGCTTCCAGTGGCCATTCAACAAACATTTTCTGAGCATCTATTAAATGCCATGCTTCATGCTAACAATCGCAATGGCAGAATTAAGTGAAAAATTATGACCTGGACTTTACAAAGTTTTTAGCTATCAGATACCCAAGAAATACCCAAGACAATTCTAACCCCAAATCAAAGTCCCCCTTTCTCAATGCAACAGGTGGATCAACCTTCCGCAGTTATCTAAACATACCATTTTCTTTCTGAGGTGTGCACCACCAAATCTGGCTACACACATCAGTTTTTAAGAAATGGAGAATGGAGTCAAAAGTAGTGGCACATGCCTATAATTCTACTACTTAGGAGGCTGAGGCAGAAGGATTTCTGTGAGTTCAAGGCCAGCCTGGACTACACAGGAAAAATTCTCTCTCTCTCTCTCTCTCTCTCTCACACACACACACACACACACACACACACACAAGAACGAGGGACACTTTGAAACTGTTTCACAATAAATGTCCATTATGTGGCTGATCACTACATGGTCCTATTTGACTTATACATAATTTGAAAAGCTTTATGGAGTAAACCAATGATTGCAAGTATATTGTCTGTGATGTTTTCCATAAAAAAATTATACAATGGATTTTTATTCACACCTGCAACTGCAAATTATACTTGTTTCTATAGGGAAAAACTAAATTTTTGTTTGCTTTTTGAGACAAAGTCTAGCTATGTAGTTTAGGCTGGCCTTGAACTCACTACAATCCTGCTCCAGCCTCCCAAGTATTGGGGTTACAGGTGTGTGCCAATGTCCAGCTCATCTGTGAAACAGTTCTTTACATTTTAAATCTTTCTAAAACGTATGTACTGCAAATCAGTTTCAACATCAGTGAGTACTGTACTATTCATATAATTCTAAATGTACTTTTATTGAAGATTAGAGGTGACTTTCAAGGTTGCAAATTTAGACAAACCATTACAGATGTAAAATCCACAATGTCAACAAGCTGATGAGTTAGTTCTACCTGTTTAACAGGTTTAACACACGCCCAAATGATCACAGTAAATCTCAATGAGTGACACTTTCATTTACATTACTTTCATTAAAAAGTTTCTAGCAAAGAGGCTGTAAAAAGACCCAGAAGGGAGAATCAATCCAAAATCCAAACTGTTTGCTTATATTAACTACACGGAAACATTTTTAAAGTGTTATTATAAATACCAGAGCACATTATAACATAACACTTATTACAAGCTTGTGCCTATAACTGCATTTTTAAAATTGTCTACAACATACTTCAGAGTACAGGTTCTTTATCCCGTATTCAGTTACTTTTTCTGTGTACTGGGATCAAACTGAGGGCCTTGCCCACTGACCTAATCCCCCGTCCTAGTGTACATTGTTTTAAAAGAAACAGTCACCCTGTATCTTCTAAGAGAACAGGCTCAGTGTTTCTCACCTACATAACTTTTCCAGACCTATAAAGCTTCTCTTTGCACATTTTATTTGTTGCTATCTTAAGAATAAGAATTATTAGCTGGGCGTGGTGGTATACACCTATGATCTCAGCACTCAGGAGGCTGAATAAGGTAGGACTGCTTGGGGCTACATAATGAGTTCAGATCCTGTTCCCAAAAGGCAAAAATAAATAAATTAATTAAATTAAGTAATCTTAGGGGCCTGGGGTAAAAGTTTCTTTAAGTGCTCTAGACCACTTTCCTCACCTGCATAAGGTCCTGGGGTTGTAACCCAGGGTTTAATCTGAATTCACACACCTGTACTGCAAATTAAATAATCATCTCACCTAGAGGAGTCTTAATTGTAAATTAACTCAAACAAAATTCTGAGCTGGGAATGTGCACTAAGTTCTTTGTAATTCACACAATTTTCAGGACACGAATTCAAGGAGTCTAGAGCTACTCGTCATGCATATCCTACAAGGAAGACCATCAACCTCCTCAACAGCCTGAGACAGAATAAATGCTACGACTTCTAGCTAAAGATCTGAAGTGACTAACGTTGAAGTTAGGAAATAAAACTCAACTATTTTTATGATTCGCATAAAGGAAAAAAAATCAATCGATAAAAAATGCTGTCCCTTAAAAATTACCAGTTATCAAAAAGTTCTTTACATGTTATATTGCCAAACTTTTTTATTTTCATCTTTTTAAAAAAATTCTTGTGGTTTTTAAGACAGGATCTCATCATACGGGCCTGACTATCTCAGCCTCCCCAGTGCTGGGATTACGGAAGTGCACCACCATGCCCAGCTTTGAAATTATTTCCAAAGGTTAGATAAATGAAATTGCTAATCAAAATTGAAAAACGAACGTAAGAGAAATTAAAGTGAAAACTGAGTGATGTAAATGAAGCTTTCTTTAAATGCTAACACCATTAACAGCCAACTCCAGTAACTTGGAACTATGATTAATACAAGACATCTGTCAAAGTATCACAATGTGGGGTTGGGGGTTGGCCTTGAAAGCAGGCAGTCATGAGTTTGATCCCCGATACCGAAATTTTTATGCTTTCCCATTTTGAAATACTTTCGGTTGGACAGCAGAGCAATTTCTGGCATGAGCTTCTCTCAACACAGGGAAATGTGTCTCCCAAGGTACTATGAATGCATCTCGAAGTGTAATACTGAGTTCAAATTACATTCAATTTTACCATAGGCTTTCATTTCCTCACTCCTCTAGACTCCATCTCCGCCTCTGCATCCTCATCTCACCCATGGACTGCTGCTCTTTAGCCCTTTCCTCAGTCTCCTCCTCTGGCACCTCTGAATGATGCGGCTTGTCCCTGACAGTCACAGCACTGGGGTCAAGACTGAGCCCATTCTTTTCAACATCAACCATTTGTTTCTAACTTCAAGTGCTGGCTAGTGTAACACCACTTGGAGCCCTGTAAAGCTGTGAGAGCTGTAACAACACAACCCTGAGGATGATCACAGTAAAAGGTAGGAAGCTACCAGCATCCACATACACGCCCACCCTCTGCCACTGCCTTTCTTTTTTTGTTTCCTTTTTGCCACTGTTCTTTAGGGGAGGAATTTGCAACTATTCAAACAGACTTCACTCAGCAGATGCTTTTCCAAACACCTAAATTCCATGTTCATTTAAAATCACTTAGCTAGTTCTATATCCCAGAAATACACGGTCTAATTTTAAAGTTATTAAACACTCCTACAGATTAACACTTAAAACTAATTCATGGATTTTCTTCTGCTTCTTATTTTAACTAATGAGTTTGTCTTTTCCCTGAAAAGGCTTAGAATGTACAGTGCCATAGACACAAAGTAAATCCATCAAGTCAAATGACATACTAACATAAAAGTTACAGAATTTTAATAAACTAGAGAGAACAGCAAAGAGCCAAGTGAAAGATCTGGTAGGAAATTCCATCAATACTCTGCCAATTGTGGGGCAAGGTAGATGCATATTAAACCGTATTTTGTTCCTCAGGGTTTCACACTATGAAAGATTACAACTTGACTTCTTGTGGTTTTCGGAAGCAATAAAAAACTGTTCTAGCTTTCTGGTCAGCTTCATCCAAATCTTAAGGGCTACAAATTACCCCAGAGCCTGGCAACAGTAACTTTTCTTCCTTGACCCAAGAAGGCAGAGCGCCAGAGGAAAATAGCAAAGAGTAGCACTACATAAACAGCGCAAGTGGCACAAGAGCAGAGGCAAGTTATATAATCAAAATATATTTTAAAATATGTTCATAACTCGTAACAACCTTTGCCTTTGGTTGGTTTCTTGTTTGGAGTATCAGTTGAAACAGTTAATTCAATATTATCTGGATCGCCTCCTTCCTCTTCAATAGCCTACATTAGAAAGAGAAGTTAATATGCTACACAATCTATCTACACTTATTTATAAAAACGAAATTAAAAAATTAGCAAACCTGAAGCCTCGAGACATTAGACTTGTCAGTTATTTCATAAACCGACTTCAAAAAGGAGTAATTAAACTACAGGAAAGAGTGAGAGAAAGTTTCGGAGTGGTCAGTAGATATCAAAATCATATGGAACTTTAAATTCGACCAAGTCGATAATTAAATATCACACATCAGCATATTGAACAGAAATCTGAAAATACTCTACTGCAGAAAAAGTTTCTAGCTATTAAAGGAAATGGCTAAAGAGTTTTCCTAATTTCTACAGCGCAAACTTATTGCTCCTCTACTCCAATTCCAACGCTCACCCAAACCAGAGAGCTAATCAGGGATGAAAAAGCAGATTATTCGCTGATGCAAAAACTGAAAGCCCAGTGGAAAACAAAACCTCTCTCGCGCCCGCCCCTTAACTCCCATCACCAGCGGCCCCAAGAAGTGGGGAACGGTTGGGCACCATTAAACGGTAACTTCGCAGGAGTCACCCCAGTCACCATTCTCTCCGGCCCGGCGCCGCGCGTGCTCACCATGGCCGCGCGCTCACCATGGCCACAGCGGAGGGAGCGCCGCCGGCCCCGGGCGCCCTGGCGAGGCCGAGCCGCCGTCCGCGGAGTGGGTGCCGGCAGAGACGGTTGCGGCCCGAGGCCCGGCAGGTGCGGGGTCTCCGGCGGCGCCGCCGCGGGTCCCTCGCGGCCTAGGCTCCCTGGAGGACCTCACCGGGCCTCACCTGCTTGAGCCGGGACACCAGCACCGTCTTGACTCCGTTGACGTCCAAGTTCCGCCGCTTCAGCTCGGACTTGAGGTCGATGACCCGCAGGTCGGCGATCTTCTTGCCTTCAGCCGGCCCCGCGACCGCCACGGCACCGGCAGCGGCGGCCATCTTGGAAAAGCGGTGCGGCGCCGAGGCAACCAGCAGACTGAGGACGGCGACGCGGGCAGCGCCAACTTCCAGCCAGGCCTCGGCAGCCACTGCGCCGCACAACGCTGCGCACAATGAGCCGCGCCCGCCCTCGCCCACTCGCCAGCCTCAGCCCTTGCCGCGGCACCCGGATGAGAGTGCGCGTGCGCACTGCGGGATGGCGGCGGCGGTGGCGCGACCCTACCGTACGTGGGCGTGCCGCGACTGACGTCTGTGCGCCGCCGCATTAGTCGTCACCCTGCGCTCGCACCCTGGGCTGCGGCAGCCGACCGCGCTTCTGTTGGCCTCGGCGTGGCAGCACTAGACCTATGTTGAGTGCTTTGAGCTAGAAACCGGTGTGGCGCGCGCGCCTCCCCGAGCTCTAGTCAGAAGTCCTAGAGAAACCAAGCTGTTTCTTGTCCCGCGAGCCAGGCCATGCCTCCCACTTCCCAGGCCGCGCGTGTGCGTCGCTGCCCCAGCGTTGTGAAAAGCGGAGCATCCTCCTTGTAGACCTCGGTTTGCCCCCACCTCCCTGCCAGACATCTCCCCACGAAAGCATTCACTGGACGAGGACGTTAGTTTGTAGACCCTTGTCGCCCGAATATACCGTGTTCCCTGCCTTCCCCCACGAATTTGGGATTCCGAGAACCACCTGCTCATGGAGGACCCGCCTGGGCAAGTGAGTACCTAGCGGTAATTTTAGCCAGTTTTATTCAGCACCAAAGCAGAAGCATTTACGGAATAAAACCATAGATTTGTTAAACTATGATGCAGTTAACCGGGTGCTTCCTGGTTTTAAAACTTAAATTGATGAGATCTGACTCATTTTAGATTTTTTTTTTTTTTTGTACCAGGTATCAAACGACCTGGCAGGCGCTTATGTCGCTGAGCTAAATCCCCAGCCGATTTTGATTCACTAATTAGATCAAAAGGAAAATGAGTGGACCTTATAGTGCTAGAAAAGAACAAAAAATACAAACCTGCCTTTCGGGTAATTCTTTAGGTTTATGTGGCACTTTGACACGAAGTAATCCCTATAATCCTTCTCAGTTTTGTGAGGTAAACTCTCCGAGGTTTAGAGAGATTCCCACATCTGATGTGCTCAAATCCCAGCCTACTGACAACAAATCCAGCTCTATCTCTACCACAATGTTTTGCGTCACAGCATTTTAGGATTCAAAGGCCCTTTAGAATCTTCAACCTACCCCATTCCCAATGAATGACATTTTTAAGAGATTTACTGAGGGATGAAGAGCTAATTATAAGCTGCATTTGTACTACATTTCAGATTTTATTTCAATATCTTTTCCCATTGTTCACTTGCTTGGATGCTCGTTTGTTTGGCCGGAGTCTCCCTGTGTAGCCCAGATTGGCCTGGAGTTTGCTCACTTTCTCAGTGCTGATATTACAGGAATTTACCAAGCTATTGAATATTCTGTGGGCACTTGCATTTTTAAATTTATTTTTGTTTTTTGTGACAGAGTCTCCCTATGTGTTCAGACAGGTCTTGAACTCACTATAACCCAGGCTGGCCTTGAACTTGAGGCTGTCCTCCTGCCTCTGTCACCGCTGTGCTGGGATTACAGGTGTGTGTCATTATACCTGGCTCTGTGGACACTTAAAGAGGAAGTATATTAACCCCAAACTAACAGTTTACTTGAAACAAATGAAATTTTGATTTGCTAAAATAAAAATCTAATAATGAGTTGTCTTGAAGTGAACACAGGTGAATTCTGAGTGTTTGCATCTGATATAACATCACAAGCCAAAATGCCAAGAACATTGAACCTGAATTTGATCAAGAGGAAACAATCAGACATCTCCAGTTGTAGGTAAAATAAGTTTAAAGGAGTAGCCTCATGTTATCTGTAAAAATGACTGCTCCAAAATAAAGCCTCTTCTCATTTACTGAGCATTGGGCAACTTTTGCTTCTATAAAGATTTATCATTTAAGCCAGGTGTGGTGGCACACGCCTGTAATCCCAGCACTTGGGAAGGAGTGGTACGGGGACTGCTGTGAGTGTGAGGCCAGCCTGCATTTCATAGTGAGACCCTGTCTCAAAAACAAACAAAAATATCATTTAGACATATACCAGCTCCCCATGATGAATGTAGTCACTATGTACTGCAAATGTGTACTAATAATTGTTTGTGTGTGTGTATGTGTGTGGTGCTGGGGATCAAACTCACAACTTTGAGCTTGTCAAGTAGGTGCTTACGCCGCTGAGCTAAATCCCCAACCCTGTACTAGTAAATTAAAAAAAAAAAATTCACCTAAGTATCTTCCTGAAAGAATAAAAAACATCATATTACAATGATAAGTCCATATCCATATTCATAGCACCACAACTCAGTAGCTAAACCATGGAAGTGACCTACAGGGCATCAACGTAAGTGGGTCAAGAAAAGGTGTACATAATGCAGCACTAATCTATATAAAGAAGGATAAATTTGATCCAGGTGTGATGGCACACACCTGTAATCCTGTTACTTGGAGGCTGAGGCAGGACGATCCCAAAAGTACAAGACTATCCTGAACCACACAGTAAGACCTTGTCTCAAAAACAAAGAGGACTGGGGACTTAGTTCAGCGGTACAGCACCTGCCTGGCAAAGTGCAAGGTCGTGAGTTCCATCCCCAGTACTAAAAAAGAGGAAAAAAAAACTCCAAAAGCAAAAGATTCCTCATTTATTGCTCCAGGCTCAGTGAGTGCAGACCTGGTATCTCTTTTGTGAAGCAGCAACTGAGGAAACTTGGGTTCTGGCTGTGGCTGTAGAAAAGCCCAAGCAAGGTGTTAATATTGAGATGATTACCCAGCTCTCAGGAGGCTAAAGAGGCAGTGTTACTAGGAGTTCAAGGCCAGCCCAAACTACGCTGCAAGGTCCTGTCTCAAAAAAATAAAGACACATGCAGTATGTGCATTTCATAATCATCTTAGTGCATGTACACAGTGATATCTTTTTATTTTAAAACTCAAAGAACTTAGGTGAAAGTGTCTAACATAGAATGAGTGCTCAGTGAATGTGTCTTCTCATTGCTTTTACCCCATCTAACGACCATGCCTGTATTCGAGTTTTCAGAGATGGTGTGGTGGCCTTCAAGGGGGCTCTCTGATCTTTCCTCCTGTTCAGACCCTCAAATAGCCCCCTCCCAGGTTAAACAGGGCTGAGCTGTGCAGCTAAAAATAAAAACATATATTAAAAATGCATAGAATTACCAGGCAGAGCCATAACACACTATGGTTTCCATCTGTCCCTCTTGGATGATTGCTCCTGAGGAACACAGCTGCCGTGGTGTAAAGGTACTTAAACAGTCCAAGGGAATCTTTGGAACCAAGGCCTGCTGTGGACAACCTGTAGCAACAAGTCATACGCGTTAGCTGTCTTGGAGGGTCCTCCAGCTCTTGTCAAGCCCCAACCAATGGCTTGACTGCAAGCTTATGAAGGACTTCAAGCCACACCCACCCATGCAGCCGTTCCCAGCTTCCCGGTACACAAAACTAAATTTTTTAAAGTTTTCCTTGTTCAGTTGAGATACTAAACCCAGTACCCTATTGCTCACACTGGGAAAGCACTCTCCCACCAAATTGTATCCCTAGCCCTTTGTCTGTTGGAGACAGGGCTTCACAAGGTGCCCAGGCTGGCCTCAAACTTGAGTCGTCCTGCCTTAGCTACCCAAGTAGCTGAAATTCTAGGCGTGCACGTGCCACAGAGCCTGATGATTCCTTCTGTATTACATGGTTGGGTAAAATTATGCAATAATTACTGCAGTATAATGCAATCCATAAGAACGAGAAATTGGCATAAAAACCTTTAACTTCCTCTGAAACTTGGTTTTGGAGAGAGAATTTCCAAGAACGAGGCTAAAGAATGCAGAGTAGGTTGGACTATTGAAGAAGAGGAGCATGCTCAGAGCTAAGCTGGGCTGAGAAAGGTCTGCGCATTGAGAAGAGTCAATAGATCCTCCACAAGACTGTCAAGAGCACAGCGTTTGTCCCCAGGATGTTTTTACATATGAACATCAGCTCCACACCAGGCAGGAGCCAGCTGAGAGTACAGAGAAAGGCACAGTGACCCTAAAGGATACAGAGTCTGCCTTAGAGACAGGCAGACCAACACCATACAGAACAAGCACCAAGTTGCTCTAAGATGACAGGAAAGAGCAGTGGCTCCTGCACTACATTTGGGACACTTCCAAACGCAGGTGACAACTGGTTTTTGAGAGCTGAGAGGATGGAAGAAGTCATACTAGGGGAGGGAGCAGAATTATCATATGGGGCAGCGAGAGATGTTAAGGGAACTGCAGCATGGCCCGAGGGAAGAGGAGGCTGAGACCTGCTGCTGGAATGAGAAAGATAGCAGAGAGACGAGTTGGGCACAGTCAGTGTGAGAGCACTGGAAAGGGATGATTTCAGAGGCAGAATCCATAGGGCCTAATTAGTAGGGGATAGGAGGCCATGGTATTCACGGATTCATACATTTAGGAAACTTAAGGATGAAGAACATGCCAAGAAGGAATAGGTGTGTAGACTCCTTGCCTAACATAGAGAAGGGAGGGAGGACAGAATCTCTGGAGAAAACTGGCCAAGAGGGAATTTCCCAATTTCTGTTCCTGTCTTACCTTTTACAGTTAAAGTTGCTAAAAGTGGTGGGTCCCTTCTCTCTATCTTCTTCGTGTCTCATTGCCTCTTTTTGTTTATCTTTCTCGTTTTTTGAGACAGGATCTTGCAATGCAGTTCAGGCTGGCCTTGAACTTGCTATGTAGGCCAGGCTGGCCTTGGATCCTTCTATCCCAGCCTCCTGAGTGCTGGGGTGTGCACGACTGCACCCACCCTCTCAGCGCTATCTCTTAACCCACTTTGGCATGGCTTCCCTCTCCATTCCTGCACCAAATTTGCTTTTCCTGAATTCACCGGTGACCTGTTAACTTTTCAATTGAATGCATATTTTTTAGTATTATATCCTGTTTCCATGTCAGATACATGCTCAGTGTTCAGTGTTGATAGAAACTTTTTTATCTCAGTTTCTAGGACACTGACATATTTCCACTTTTCTCTCAAGCTCTGTAACTATGCTGCTTTCTTTTAAGATGTCTCACTTTTCTAAAGCAGTACTTTGTTGCTCCATTCACATGTTCAGATTCTCAGGGTGATGTGGTAGGTCCTGGGGTTGAATCAACACACATCCGTTTCAATCTCCCTTTTCATGCCATTTTGTTGTTGTTTCCACACATAATGGCACATATACTACCGAAATACCAACAACCCAGAGCTGTAGCAGAGCCAACCCCTTCCACCAACAGTGGGTGATAAAAATCTTTGTTGACTCAAACTTAGGGCCTTGTACTTGCTAGGCAGGGGGTGCCACTGAACTACAGCCATTGCCTTTTCTTTCTTTCTAGAGACTAGAAAGGTGATTCTTCATCTTTTCTGGAAGCTAGGGATGGCCATGTGACACCACTTAGGACCTTAAGCTGTACCTTCCCTCTGAAGTGACTGACTGATGGGGCTGGGGATGTGGCTGAGTGGCAGAGCAGTTGCCAGGCATGTGCAGGGCTCCAGTTCAGTCCTCAGTGCTGTAAAAAATAATTAAATGGAGCTGGGGATTTAGCTCAGCGGCATAAGCGCCTGCCTTGCAAGCAGGCAGTCGTGAGTTCAATCCCTGGTACCGATAAAAAGGAAAAAGACACACAAAAAAAAATTAAACTTTCAAAAGCTGACCCAATAGACGGAAGAGCTTGGTCTCCCATCCGTTTACCTTTTCCTTGCCCAGAACAGAATGTAAAACTTGGAAGTGCCCTTGTGAGGTTTTGATCTTGGGGCCGAAACTTACTGACAGTGATGTCAAGAAAAAGGTTATGGTCCTCAGCCTCCTTCCTGTCTTTTTGTTGCATAGCATAACACAGGTGTCTGTTTCAGTTACTCTTAGCCAAGTTAAAATTCTAGGAGACATTTGTGTTTTGGGGCATTTTTTTCTCCTCATTTTCCCTGACTCTACAGAGAGATCTTATCCACTATCTTGATTGTAATCATCATCCATATAGAATTCACTTACAAAATCTGCATCTCTGTCCAGACCTGTCCTCTGAGTGTAGAACCCGTGCAGCCGCCTGCCTACTATATATTTCTGATTGGATTTCTACCTCAGCAGAATTCAGTACATTCACACTAGTTCATGCCTTCCTGTTTAACAAAACTGAGATATTTTCTTAAGCATAAAAAACACCTGAAAAAACAAACCTAAGTTATTTTTAGATAGAACACTGAATTAGTCTTGATCTGACTTTTATTTCTTTTCCTATGTATTCTAGGTTGGTGGTGGCGGACCTATGGCCAAGTGGATGAGCTGTTTTTTCTAAACTAAAACCTCAGCATTCAGGATTAATTACTGTGCTATTCCGTGCCATGCTTCAAGTGGGTTTTAGGTTGCATTTTGGGCTCTGGGTCTCCAAAAGGTTTGCTGTTCTGGACCTTCCTGCGGTTATGCACTCACTCAACAGTGGAGGTGGAGATTTGCCATCTGAGGGAGCAGCAGTGTCTGGGTCGGAGAGTTCAGAATCATCGACCAGCTCCTGCCAAAGGCTCAGGCTGGTCTGTCAGATGCAAGGCCCATGTGCTCCTGGGCTGTTTCTACCTGAGGTCTAGAGAGCAGGCCCACCTTTCTTGCATTGCTGTGTGTAAGCAGCCTTAAATCGACACTTTTCAGAGAAGGTTTTTATCACCTACTGTTGGAGTAAAGGGCCAGCCCTGCTACAGCTCTGTTGATGTTTCAATAATATGCGTGCCATTATGTGTGGGGTTACAGGCATGGGCCACCACCACACTTGGCTGAGTATCTTAGTTTAAAACGTGAAAAGGTTTACCCATCTTTTAGAAGATATGTTAGTATGTCAGTCTTTTGACATATGGTGGAACTAGTCTGGACTGTACTTGCCCAGGTCCAAAGACTGCTGAGTGATCTCATAAGAGAGTGATTCACTACTCGCTAAAACACACATGTATGATCAAAGACACAGAAAAAGGCGAAAGATGCGAGTGAATGTGGTCCCTCCAAACCTACCTTTATTCTTCATGGTGGTCGCCAGACTGAGATGCCCAAGGAGATGAACCCTCCGCCCAGCCAGGGAAGTCGGGAAAGTGGTGGACCCGCGGCTGAGTCCGGAGCCCAGTGGGGCTCAAGGCAGCCGCACTCGAGCGCGCCCCCTGCTGTCAGCCGCACCGATCCCTCCCAGGGCGCCGAACTCCGCTGCCCAGCCCGCGAGGTTTCCAGGGGCCTCCGTGGAGTCGCAGTGCCGCGAAGAGCTGTGGCTTTTCAAAGGGATAAAACCTTTTCTTTGAATTTTGGATCGCAACTTCTTGTGCTTGAGTAATGTTTAATTAAGGTAGTAATTAAATTACATAATTAAAGTAACACCCACAGCTGGAAAAACTGGTTCTGGAAGAAATCCATTTGACTCATGGTAAACCAGACGTCCAGCTTCTGGCGGCAGAGGTGCATGGTCACATCAGAGTGTAGCTGAGAAGTATCAGGAAGCCCACGTTTCAAGGTGTAGTCAACACCTTGAGGTGAAGACTACGGTTATTCTGTACAGATCTGTAATTACCACAAAATCTCTTCATGTTGGAGTTGGGCCGTCTTTCTCCCTCTGTCCATCTACAATTACTTTGTACAGATGATGTATACTCGAGTAATTTCTTTTTTTTTTTTTTTTTTTTTTGGTATTAGATACTGAGCTCAGGGTCGTCTTCATTGAGCTCCACGTACAGACCTTTTTGGAATTTTTTGTTTTGATACAGGGTCCAAGTTGCTGACTTTGCCCAGACTGGACCCAAACTTAGATCCTCCTGTCTCAGCTTAGCAGAGCCCTGAGGTTACTGGTGTTTGGCACCACGAGCTGCTTCCATCAGTAACTTGAAAAGGGTCCCCTACCATAAAGGTAATGTTGTGTGTCACTTTCCTCCTCCTGGATGCCTAGGCAGTCAGGTGACAACCTTGGTAGAGTTAGTGTGGCTAACTGGATATGGACAGCTTCCCTGTGCGATGTGCTTTTTTTGTCTTGTTTTGATTTTTTTGTTTGTTTGTTTTGTTTTCTGGAGGGGATGCTGGGATATTGAACCAGGGCCTCATGGATACTAGCTTCACAATCTACCACTGAGTGCCCCCCAACACTGACTGTTTACTCACATAAAATCTTTGTATAAACAAGTTAATTTTTAAAATAAAAACAACCCTACATTTATTGGCCTCCAGTAAAAAATAAGAGTAGTCAAAACAATAGGAACAAACATTTTATAAATATTCCCACAGCAAACCACTTAATCAGCTGCCTTTCTTACATATTATCGTAGTTGCCATTGCCTCACTTCACTGCTGCCTTAATTCCTTGATCATTTCCAGCTGGAGACACTTTGTAGCAGAGTAATTATTATCTCCTTTTGGCATAATCCGACCCAGTTGTTTTCTTGACTTTGTTTTAGAATGGATTTCTTCTGTATCATCTAATACAAGGTCCACATACTCATCCAAACCAAAATACAGCCCTCTGTCCATACATTTACTTGCTCAGTACCCTCGCCTGCGTCCCGATCTGTCCTGCAAGTATCTGAGGATGAGGTCAGTGGGCTGCACCATGACCTCCTGCACTCTCTGGCCCTGGCCCCTGTATCCCATGCCAGAAGTTGTTAATTTTAATGAAATTCAGTTTATCTTTTTTTCCCCTTCAGTTCTAGGATTGAGTTCAGCACCTTAGCACTAAACTATATCCTTCATCCTTTTTTATTTTTTATTTTGAGACAGATCTTGCTAATTTGCTAAATTGTGTCGGTAGCACTGCAGTTTGCAATCTTCCTTCCTTTACCTCCCAGAATGAGATTACAGGGTACGCCACCCCGCCTGGCTCATTGTGGAACTTCTAGTTGGAAACTTTTATACCCATCTGATCTTGGTTTTTGTATCTTTTGTTATTTCCTTCTTTTGTATTTATTTATACTGGTTTTTTGAGGCAGGCTCTTCCTGTGCAGTTCAGGCTGGCCTTGACACTATGTAGACCAGGATAACCTCAAACTCATAATGATCCTCCTCCCTTAGCCTCTCTCCCGAGTGCTGGGATTACAGGGGCCTGCCATCATGACCCGCTTTATTTTCATTTCATTTATTTCACCTGGAGTTGAACAAAAGCGCCTTAGCGCTGAAGTACATACCCAGTCCTTTTTTAGTTTTTATTTTGAGACATGGTCACCCTCAGTCACTAAATTGTGCAGACTGAATTTGAACCTGGAATCCTCCTGCTTGAGTCTCTCAAGAGTGCTGGGGTTACAGGATGTGCCAGAGTCTCCTTACCTTCCACAGATGCTGCTCCATTATTTCTTCAGAGTGATTGTACTTTTTCCTTTCCCTGGTTTATTGTGGAAGTGCCTAGCATAGCTAGAAGCCACGTGGACAGTGAGAGGGAGCAGAGTACTCATCCCTCAGCTTGCGCTGTCTCCCATCTCCTAAGGCAGGAGAAACCCACCCTGGGCTGCTGCACACGCATCTGCGGACAGAGGTGGTGACTCTGTTGAAATGCTAGTGCTTGTTTACACCATGCAATCACTGGTATCTGTGAGTAGAGCATTCCAAAATCTGTGGCCTTTGTCTTACCTCACCTTTGGATTTGGGGCAAGCTATCCCAGGAGGACAGGAGGGATTGTCTGCAGGAGGCTATGCCTAGAGAGGAGCCTTTCTTCAGAAGCTCCCATCTTGATTTGGTGATAAGGTGGGTGGTCTTACACTTTTTGTTGTTCTTTTTTAAGATGAGGTCTTGCTCTAGAGTTTAGGCTAGACTTGAACTCAGTAGATAACCCAGAATGGCCTTGACCTCACAGTGATCCTCCGCCTCAGCCTCCTCATTATCCTCAATCCCTCCTGGGATTACAGGTGTATGCTACCAGGTCTGGCTGTTCCTAGAATTTTGCAGGAAAAAAAAATTATGAGGGGGTTTATAACCAGATTCATACTCTAACTTCTGTGTCAGCCTCCCCCTCATATATTTATTTTAGGTTGGGTAATCTTTCTTAAGGATTTATGGAAAGATTTCATTGTGCCAGAAATTTCCTCAGTCTCTTCTTTTGATGGGATGTTGATAGGAATGTTTAGTATGACAAAGGGTTCCTTTAATAATACTTCTTTGAAATGTCAATGTAAAAAAATGTATACTTCTTCTCAGACATTTATGTACATCTTTGACTTGGTGACTCTTGTAACTGGCTGCATTTCCTGTGACTTTGGCTAAAAGAAGTCTAAAGCTAAGTTTATCACCCACACCTAGAAACTGTCCAGGTTTCTATGATATATGTTTCTCGCTCAGTGTTGTTTTCCTGACCTGTTTTTCTCTCCCGCCCAAAGTTTTAATCTATTTAGATTTCTGCTGTAATGATGACATGTGTTTATGAAAGCTGTCGCTAATACTGTTAGGGAACAGGGCTGGAAAGTTTGCATGGATAGGTAAATACAATAAAACAATAAAAGATGCTTCATTTAAAGTGGCACTTGTGGCAAAAATCAAGTAGGTATTTCACATCTTAACATACAGGTAGAGTTTTAGAGCTCAGAGCTCATTTCTTCATTGTTAAAGGTCAACTGGTAGAAAATATTCTTGCTCCAAAGATAAAAATATTTCTTTGTGAGAAAGCTGTCTTTACTTATTCCTTGTGTTAAGCCAAGGCAAGTAATTTAACCTTTCTCAGCTTTATTTTCTCATTGGTTTTTTTATTTTATTATACAGCACTGGGGATGAACCCAGTGCCTTTTGCCTTGTGCTATTTTCCCAGTCCTGTTTTTAGTTTTTTGTTTTTTTGGTTTTTTTTGGAGACATGGTCTCCCTAAGATATTAAGTTACCCATGCTGGGCTCAAACTTTCCATCCTCCTCCCTCAGCCTTTCAGACTGCTGGGATTACACATAGTTCTTTTATTTTATGGAATTAGGGCTAATTTACTCACTAATTAGCTGGGAGAATGTAATCTTGGCAATGAAACACACTTGGTTATTGTTGCTAGCTACCTTGCTGTGGTATGTTGGACATGTTACAGACCTCTCTGGGTCTCATGTTTCTTTAGTGGGAAACAGAATGATTGACCTAGATAACTCTGAAGACATTTTATTACTTTTGAATCAGCAGATGAACATTCATACAAAACTGAGTAAACAAAGTACTTGCCCTTTAGAAGGACATAATAGACTGAGAAACAGAAGGTTAGTGGATTCATTGAATACAATTTGATAAGCACTAAAATGTTAAAAACATAGTTTTATTGAAACATAGATGAAAAATAGCTGTAATTGTGAAAGTGAAGAGGAGAAAAGAGGAAGAAGGGATAAAAAAGATTTAAGATGTGTGCAGCACTCAGGAGACTGAGACAGGAGGATTGCTGTGTGTTTGAGACCAGCCTGTCTACCTAGTGAGTTCAAAGCCAACCTGCACTGCAAAGCAAGACCCTGTATCAAAAAAAGAAGGTATGTTCATAGCAACTTCCCATGATGAGTGTAATTGTTATGTACTGATAGAAAAAGTGAAATGAAAAGAAGACTCAGATGACTTCAACTTTCTTCCTAATCTTTGTGGAAAAGACTGTAGACTTTCACTATTACATATAATGTTAAGTATAGATTGGGTGTAGGTTTTATTGTTTAGTTTTAGGTTAAAGACTTTTCTATTTGTAGTTTGCCATGACTTATGAGTATTGAATTTTGTCAGAAAATTTTTCTGAGTCTGTTGGAAATTATAAACTTTTTCTTTTCCAGTGTGATAATGTGATGAATTTCATGGCCTGATTGAGAGTGTGGGGGAGGTCTCAAAGAGTCCTTAAATTGCGCAGGCTGGACTGACTGTGTGATCCTGCTACCTGAAGCTCCCAGAGTTCTGGGGATGCAGTGCCACCCTGCCCAGGTTTCCTCTCCCTCTCCCTCCTTTTCGGGGGGGAGCCCAGCCCTTCACACAACCTGAGCATGTTTGCAGCCACCCCCATTTCCCCATCTTTTCGGGTGGTTCTATCTGTACTTTGAACATTGTTCCCCTGTTCTCTTGACTTCCTTGGACTGAGAATTTTTTTTTTTTTTGTCTTTTTCCTTTTCATTGGTACCAGGGATCGAACTCACGACTGCCTGCTTGCAAGGCAGGCACTTATGCCGCTGAGCTAAATCCCCAGACCTAGACTGAAAATTTTTATAATGATTCCACGTCACACTCTTTATTGTCTTAGTAGCTATTGCTCTTATTTTCATATTTTTAGTGGTTGATACACAGTTTATAGTAAACATGTTTAATGTATCCTGTCTACTTTCAAAAATATTGAGCTAGGCATGGTGGCACACATCTGTCATGCCAGCACTGAGATAGGAAGATTGCTGCAAGTTTGAGGCCATCCTGAGCTACACAGTGAATTCAAGGCCAGCCTGAACTGAAAAGTGAGATCCTGTCTCAAGAATCCAAAAACGAATGAGGCAGTAAGGTCACTGTGAGTTTGAGGCCAGCCTGGGCTTACAGTTCAAGGCTTCACTAGGCTCAAGTTTACACTCCTCCTGTGCTGGAAGCAGAGGCATCATCAGCCATGCCCAGTCCCGGTCAGAAATGAAAGAGCCCCTTTCAGTTTTCATGAGATGCCCCCTTCTCTCTGTGTGGCTTCTTTCTGGTTGTGTGTCCACCGAAGTCTCGCTGGTATCCCCTGAATTTTGGTCTTGGACGCCTTGCAGACACTGGGCTCTGTCTGGCCCTACCCATTCTGCTTGTTTCTCTTCTCTCAGGCTCATGAACACCAAAGCTGCCTGTTGTCCAGTTTCTGACAACTGTCATTTCAAATACAGTATTCTCATTTTTTTTAATTGTTCAGGGAGGATAGTATTGTCCTGTTATTACATGGTTAACAGGAAGCAGAAATCCAGACCTGGATGATTAAATCTT